TGGACTCATCAACACCCCGAACTTAAACTTTTGCTTGTCCTCAAGCAAACTTGAGTTCAGGCGTTCAAAAAGGGTGTCTCAAACAGTGCTACACAAGACTCAATCATGAATGCACACAACGAGACTAAATTTACTTATGCAAGGATCAATTGTGTACTCAAAGATTCAGATTGTGACACACCATTACCAAAGATTCTCATGCTCGTAATACTTGCTACTTGTGCAAGTTCAAGATCAACAAAAAGTATATAAATGCCCTCACATGAAGAATGATTCCATCTTCACACACAGAGGTTAATCAATTCAAGATCAGGAATCAAATGCATCGCTCACACTCAAAATAGAGGAACAGAAGATCAAAAAGGTCTTTCTAAGGCTTGTAATGGGTGCAAAGGTATGGTCATTTAGGCTCAGTGACTTTTTCCTCGTGAGATGTGGTATTCTCAAGGCATTCCCTTCTTTTTCTTTATCAAATCTTTTTCTAGTGTTTCTAAGTCATTTTTTTATTCACCTCCATGAATTGCTTGGAAACCTGATTTCTTTTGTACTTTATTCCACATTTTTTTTCTTTAAGGGGTTTCCATCGTTCTGCAACACCATGGGTGAATGGGGACTTTTCTTGTACTTCTTGACTTCTCCTTTTCCTTTTCACCACACCCCCAACTTAGTCCTTTGGCCTAAGTTGGCTATTTGCAAAACCACAAATCAAGAGGATTATAGGTAGTGAGTCAAGTAAGGTCTAGGGTTCATCAATGTTCTTCCAAAGAAAGGTAAGGCTCAAAGGGTGTTCAAAAGAGTTTCACACGCTCACGGGTAGGCCACAAAAGAGGCATATGTTAAAGTTGGCGCACACTCTTTAAAGTTGCCTAAGATCATCTCAAAAGGACACCTTTCTAAATCAATCAGACTAACGGGGCAAATTCTAGGTTTATTCATGCATGGTTCAAAGCAAGCCAATCACACAATGCATCGACACTTAAATCAAACAAGACTACACACTCTCGCTAGTGTGCAATGGTCATTTACAATATAATCAATTCGATAAATGGCTAATCACAACGAGATGGAAAGAGTTCACATATTGTTTATGCAACTTCATTTGGCCTCATCGTAGCCGTACATTCATGTTCGTTCAATTGAGAGCACTGTTCAAGTCATCGGAATTGATCGAAACCGAGACTCAATTTTTTTCAAAAGAACAACCACATTCAACTCACGAGGGGTGGCAAAAATGTACGAAAAATGCAAATTTTTTCGGAAGGGTCAAAATCATTTTGCAAATAAAAATAAACGGAGCCACAAGCTCAAGCAATCACAAAGCAGTTCTTAAAAACACAATTAAAAACAGACAACCCAAATGTATACAAAGCACGAATCACAAATAGCTCACACAAGTGGGCCTCACCCCACCACAAATAAAAGCAGTTGTCCTCAAATGCGAATAAAAGCACCCAACACTAAAAAAATAAGTAAGAAAAATAGAGAGGTAAAGAAGTGATCCTGGTTATGCGTTTGTTCCATCTGTCAGGGTGGCATGTTTCGTCTTCAACTTTTCTGTGTAGACCTTCCACTATTTTAGCATTAAAAAGACGGTGAGGTGGGGACGTTAAGCAAGTTGTTTGAGTAATTCAGTAAGATCTCCATAGCATCGCTAAACGACCCAACACGCCTACTGTCACACCACTTTCTCGAATACTTCACAACCACTTTGTTTCAGCTTTACTTAAGTGCCGTACAATTTCTGCGTACTCGGCGATATCACTCTGAATCGTTGGATTAGTTGGTGTGTCACTGAGCATTTACTTAGTTCACCGAGTTTTACAGAATCTTCACTCATTGGGAAGGTCCAAACGACGGTTTACATCATGATCGCTGAAATGGTTGGCTATTCGCAAATAATTTCCAAATCTCACCGAGTTTTATAGACTTCACTGTTGACGAGATCTTGAGTCAAATATCGGATGGGGTCGGATTCGCCAACCCCTTCGCCGACTCGCCGATACGATCTATTGTTTGCCATCATTTACTTTTTTAAACACCTCGCGTACTTTCTCCTGCACAAACAACATACCATTCTATTACCAGGAAATAAGTAATGATAATAATAAAAAGAAAGGGATTAAATGGAATTTGGGAGCCTCCCAAACATCGCCTTAGTTAACGTCGCGGCACGACGCAGCAGCGCCTTCAAGCGTCTTCCAGATATACCACTTCGACCAATGAAATTTCTTGACAATCCCCAGATACAATTTCAGACGTTGCCCGTTCACTGTATATGGAGGTCCTATCTGATCTTCAACTTCTATGGTACCATTGATGAACACTCGCGTTACCCTAAACGGTCCAGACATTTGGATTTATGCTTTTCGGGGTAGAGTCTTAGTCGCGAGTTGTATAGCAAAACCCAATCTACTACCTTGAAGTCCCGCTTGAGTATCCTAGCATCATGCCATTTATTCATCTTCTCTTATAGATGGCAGAACTTTCATATGATCTGATTCTAAATTCATCCAGTTCGTTCAACTGCTCTACTCTCTCCCTTGAAGATTTTGACCAGTCCAAATTTAAAGCTTTCAATGCTCACAATGCCTTGTGTTCTAACTCAACGGGCAAATGACAAGCCTTACCATAAACCAAATGATATGGAGACATACCGATAGGTGTTTTATAAGTAGTCCTATATGCCCATAGTGCATCATCAGGTTTCCTAGACCAATCAGTTCTATTGACATTTATTGTCTTTGTCAAGATGCTTTTAATTTCCCGATTCGACACTTTGACTTGACCACTTGTTTGGGGATGATATGGGGATGCCACTTTGTGTTTCACCCCATATTTACTCAGTGCCATTGAGAACCACTTATTGCAAAGGTGGGATCCCCCATCGCTAATGATTGCTCTTGGAGTGCCAAATTTTGCGAAGATGTAGCGTTTCAGAAATTGGACAACGCTTTTTCCTTCATTGTTTGGAAGTGCGATAGCTTCCACCAATTTGGAAACATAATCTACCACCACTAAGATATATTTATTTTCAAACGAGCTCACAAATGGGCCCATGAAATCGATCCCTCATATATCGAATAACTCGACTTCTAAAATAGGAGTGAGAGGTAATTCGTGTCTTCTAGACACTACGCCTTGCTGCTGACATTTAGAGCATTTCTTTGCAAACTCATGTGCATCCTTGTAGAGTGACGGCCAATAGTATCCACTCTGGAGAACTTTAGCGGTGGTGCAAACACCACCATGGTGACCTCCTACTAGAGATGTATGGCAAGCATGGAAGATTTCTATCGCTTCTTCTTGCGGAACACACATTCTAATGATCAACACACTCTCAGAACAAGTATGGTTCATCCCAAAAGTACTTTTTAACATCGAACAAGAATCTTTTCTGTTGGTAAAAGGTCAACTCATTCGGCGTCAGCCCACACACAATGTAATTTGTGAATTTTGCATACCATGGTGTATGCTTGAGGGATATTGCAAACACCTGTTCATCGGGGAAAGAATCGTTTATGTCAACCTCATGCTCAACATTCGCCCTTGCTTCCAGCCTTGATAAATGATCAGCCACTTGATTTTCGCATCCTTTTCGATCTTTTACCTCTAAATCAAATTCTTATAATAGTAGCACCCACCTAATAAATCGTGGTTTTGCATCTTTCTTTGCCATCAAGTCCCATAGTGCAGCATGATCAGGTGCACGACTACTTTGGTGCAGTATACCCTGAAATTTTCAAATGCATAGACTATTGCAAGCAACTCTTGTTCGGTGACCGTATAATTTTGCTGGGAACTATTTAGAGTCTTGCTTTCGTAGTAGATTGGGTGAAACAGTTTGTTGCGCTTTTGCCCCAACACAACCCCAGTGCCATATCGCTAGCATCACACATTCGCTCAAAAAATTCAGACCAATTAGGGCTAATGATAATCAAAGTGTATATTAGTTTTTCTTTCAAACACTGAAATGCAGCCACACAAGCATCATTAAAGTGGAATTTCACTTCCTTCTCTAAGAGTTTGCATAGTGGGAGTGCAATCATTGAGAAGTCTTTAATGAACCTTCTGTAAAATCCTGTATGACCCAAGAAGCTGTGAACACCCTTTACTGAAAGTGGCGGGGGTAATTTCTCAATGACCTCAATTTTCACCTTGTGAACTTCCAGCCCCTTTTGTGACACCTTATGCCCAAGAACAATACCTTCTTTTACCATAAAGTGACATTTCTCCCAATTCAAAACTAGATTCGTTTCCACGCATCTTTGGAGTACCTATCCTAAGTGAGTCAAGCATTCTTCAAATGTATCCCCTACGATTGAGAAGTCGTCTATGAACACCTTCATAGAGTCTTCGACCATATCTGCAAAAATAGACGACACAACGCTGAAATGTTGCTGGGGCATTACATAGCCCGAATGGCATCCTTTTGAATGCGAATGTTCCATAAGGGCAAGTAAAAGTGGTTTTCTCATGATCTTCCAGTGCAATAGATATTTGATTGTAACCAGAGTACCCATCCAAAAAACAATACCACCTTTTTTCTGGTAACCGATCAAGCATTTGATCCATAAAAGGCATTGGAAAATGACCTTTCTTGGTCCATGAGTTAAGCTTTTGATAGTCCATGAATACTCTCCACCCAGTCACTGGTCTTGTTGGCACAACTTCTCCTTTTGTATTTGTGACTACGGTTATACCCCTTTTTTTTCGGTACACATTGCACAGACTAACCCACTTACTATCTGCAGTAGGTTAGATCACTCCCGTATCTAGCCACTTGATGATCTCCTTTTTTACCACCTCTTGCATTGGAGGGTTCAATCTACGTTGATGTTCCACACTAGGTTTACATTCACTGTCGAGCCGAATCTTGCGAGTACAAATGCCAGGAAGAATTTCTACTATATCGGCTATTGTCCATCCAATAGCTTTTATATGCTTCCACAGTACTTCAATGAGCAATTTCACCTGCTTTTCAAGCAGATTGGCGGCGATAATTACCGCCAAGTATTATTGGCTCCTAAGAAGGCATATTTGAGATGAGAGAGTAGGGCTTTTAACTCCAGATTTGGTGGTTCTTCTGTCGATGACTTTGCAGGGGGACTTTCTCTGTTTTTCAGGTCGATATCCAACTTGATTGGACTCCTTGAATATGCTCCTAATCTTGATAAAGCAGCTACCACTTCCTCGTAGCCTTGAACTTCGGATTCATCATAATTGGCAAGTACATATTCAAGGGGTTCATCCTTGCGCATTAAATGACTCACACTTGCCACTGCCTCATCTATCACATCATCAGTAGACACCACATGGATATTACTTGGTTGCTTCATGGATTTACAAATATTAAAGGTCTCATCATTGTTCACACGGAACATCAATTTCCTACTTTCAACATCCACAAATGCTCTCCCGGTACCTAAGAATGGCCTTCCCAAAATAATGGGGATTTCAGCATCGATTTCACAATCTAGAATCACAAAATCAGTCGAAAAGACAAACCGATCCACTTTTACCAATATGTCATAGAGTATCCCCACTGGGTGCTTGATTGATCGATCAACCATAAGGAGTCTCATTGTGGTTGCCTTTAGTTCACCCAAATCAAGTTGTTTGTATATTGCGTAGGGCATCAAGTTGATGCTTGCTCCTAAATCACACAAGGCTTTAGTGAATTGGGGCATGCCAATTGTGCAAGGGATTGTAAACGCCTCAAGATCTTCTCTTTTCGTGATTGAATCATTTGTCATAATTGCACTGCAACTATGGGGAACCTCAATTGTTTCATAGTCCAAGCTCCTTTTCTTTGTAACAAGTTCTTTCATGAATTTGGTGTATCCCGACATTTCCAACAATGCTTCTACCAGAGGAATGTTAATTGATAAACTTTTCCATACTGAAAAATTTATTTTGAACTTCTCATTTTCATTCTTCTTTTTCAAACATTGGGGAAATGGTGGAGGTATCTTGGGTAAAGGGTGCATGACTTTTGGAACTTGAACTTGTTGCTCGGCTTCCTCCTGTGGTTCTTTAGTAAGGCTTTGTTGAATAGGTAAATCTTGTTCCTCCACATCTTGGCTCTCTTCATGTTTTTTAGGATCCTCATCTTTCATCATATCCCCTATTGCCACCTTAGCGCTACGGGTAACTACAACCAACTCTCTTTCTATATAGTCCATTGGTGTTTTGGATGTTAATTGAGCTGATAATAAACTCAATTCACCTTCCAACATTTTGATGGCATCAGTATGGGAATTTACTTTATTGTTCAATGTTGAAAAGTCATCTTTCATTCCTTTTAGCAAATCATCAGACCCCTCAACTTTATTAAGTATGCGCGATAACAAATAATTTATCCGAGGACTACTTGCACTCCCTTTAGATTTTGGGCTTTCACTCAAGTGAGTATGGTCCTCCTCCTGATCATCCTGCTTAGCCCAATCTTGCCAATATTTCCTTGGTTCGTCACCCCTATAATAGTTCCAGCCTTGATTTCCGCCCTGCGGTTGATAGCGTGGGTGGAAACCCTCCTCGTATCTTCTGGAGTTCCAACCTTGATTTTACCCTGGTATTGAGTAACCGGAAGAAGAACCCTCCTCAACTCGAAATACTCCATGTGTCCCTTTCATGTGCTCTTGTAGGATTTCCATTTGAGATAACATCTTCTTGATGTTTTTGTCCCTTTCTCTTTCTTTTTCAATTTGTTCTTGCGTTAATCGGAAACATAATGGGGAAACTTGATCATCTTTGGTATACCATGTCTGGTTATCTTTAGTCATACCATCTAGGATAAATGAGGCTACTTCAAATGATTATAACATTATTCCTCCCTGCACCAATTGATCAGCTATCCCTTTATTAACCGAGTTCAGACTACGGTAAAAGTATTGGAGCAACAATTCACCTGGTAGCCCATGCGTTGGGCACTTACGCTAAGTTCTATTGAACCTTGTCCATGACTCGTGAATTGGTTCACCCTTCTGTTGCTTGAAATTCTAAATATCGTCTCTCAGTTGCATCATTCTTGATGGAGGAAAGAATCTTTCGTGAAATGCCATAACCAGCTCCTCCCATGATTTGATGGAGTTGCTTGGGTGCTAAACCAACCATTTAGTGGCTCCCCAGTCAATGATAATGGAAATAAGCGACACTGTATGGATTCTTGAGATAGGTTTTCGACTGATAAAGGGGTGCACACTTCCACAAAGCTTCGTACAAGTTTGTGCAGATCTTTATGCTCTAACCCTCCAAATAAACCTCTTGAATGAATGAGTTGGAGTGTTGCGCTAGTGACTTCGAACATTGCATATTCGTCAGCTTGTGGCATGCAATTTTTGCCCATCTCGCCCACATCGGCCGGGTGATAAACACTATTATCATCATTGATGTCATTTTGATTAAAAACACCACCCTCTGAGTGACCCGCTTGGCAGCTATTATCCCCGTTTGCAATCATTTGGCCTATTGTGGCACACAAATACTCAAAACAAAACTGGAAATTAAATTAGTAAACTACAACTAAAGAGAACAAAAACTCTATGAAACTAAAAATTCTCAAATAACACCACTCCCTAGTAGCAACGCCATTTTTTATGCTTATCAGGACCAACGACACTAACCTATAGTACGGTGTCTACGATCGTCGATAATAAAGTAACCTAACCAAGGTTTGGGGTCGTGTCTCAAGGGAGTGGTTTTGAGAACTAGTAGAAAAATAAAATTTAGTTCTAACTAGTCGTAGCTAAAGACATTAATGATTAAAAATATTGTAAATTAAAAAGGGTGACAAAAATGTCAACTATCAATTGGGGGTTTTGTCACAAGTAGTAAAAACAACAAAAAATACAAGAGAAGATCAAGTATGGGGACAAGTTCTTGGGGTGTGACCGCAATACAAGTTGAGATAAATCATTGGGTACATGCTTTCGATAGGAAATTTGCAAGATAATAGTGACTAGGCTAAGCTTTAGATGGAAATTAGTTCCCTCTCGGGCAACTTACCCCGTTTCAAATGCGTTTCTCTCGGACACCCATTTGCCGCATGAAGGCCAACCTACGACTTACCCCATTTACTCTCTCGAGCTGAGTATTAGGATATGGGACTAGGGCTCACCCTCTCGGGCTGAACCTCATGTCGACCTACTCCTTAGGCCATTAGTCTAGCGGTCTTGGTTTCGCGACTTCCCTCTCGGGCAAGCCGAAAACACATGGGTGGTTTTGTATTTGCAACTACAAACCCATTAAATTAAACCATAACCACTAGGTGAAATCACCATTAAAATACATCTATCCTATCAGCAATCAAGACCCAACAACAATATCAATACATATTTTGCTAAATCACACCCCAAGAATGGGAGTTTTTAGCTACACATCAAGAAATAACAAAATACACCTGAAATGATACTAAAATCAAATGGGTATAAGAAATTAAACCTTGATTTAAGCAAAGGAATAAGAATGGAGAAGACCCACTTCCAATTTGGGGAAGATGAAATCCTTCTTTCTTCAAGTCTCCCAAAAACCCTCTCTAAACTTGAGAGAAAATATCCCAAAAAGTATTATTCTATTCTGAAAATTAAAATAAATGTTCGAATCTTAAAAATTAATAACAATTTTAGTATTTATAGACTTCAGAAAATAGTGCTGGCGGATCTTTCGGCAAGGTTAGTCGGAATTGCCGACAAACTCGGTGATTCGCCCTTTGGTGTAGTTCGTCGCCGTCTTGCACTAGCCTTCAGCATCGTCATGCTCTGTGTCATTGGGCGATCTAGTACTGCTTCGCGGAATTATTCAGTGAAACGCTGACTTCTCCTTTCATCGCCTTTTTGATCCTGCTCCTTCAAGGCTTCGTGTACTGGAACAAAGGGCGGAGTGTGTTCCTTCGGCGAATCGCCAAGAGTGCTTGGCGATGCGCAGGCTTCAACTTCTTCGTTCTTTCCAGCCTTTTTGTTCCTTTTTGCGCCTAAGTGTCCATGCTTCCACTAAAACTTCAAATAGCTGAAACTTACGAGTTTTAGCAGATATTGAGACAAAATAAGCATTTGAGGACACTATTTCTATCAAAATAAACCCCTAAATGAGTCCAATTTGTGGACTCATCAATCATCTTCTGAGAATTTAAGAGAATGAATTGGATTTGGGGGTTTAAAATCATTATATAGGCTTTGGGTAGAAGGAAAAACAACGTAGTATTGAGTTAAAACAATTGGGAAAAGACCCAATCACCCCTGACTTAAAAAATACCAAAGTGCCATCTACTACGGGGTTGACAGACCGTCGTTTGGACTATCATCCGTCAACTAGGTCCGTCGTTCATAGTCTACCCAATAGGCTTCACTAAAATGAGCATAACTTTTTTTTTCGAGCTTGGATTTTATCAAACTTGTTGGCGTTGGAAAGAGGGTTCAATTATCTCTAATTTGATATGCAATGGGTCACCTAATTCATTTTGTTCTAAAAGATATGACCGTTTGAAGTTGCTCAAAAAGCCCTTTCTTTCCAAATAACTGTTTTCCCTCACCAATGGCTAGACCTACGATCCCTGGTTCCACCTACGGACCGTCCTGGTCGGCCGTCGTGGGTTTCAAAGATGCAATATTTGAGCCACGAATGATGGAGTTGACTTACGGTCCGTGGTTCAATTCCTCAACTTATGACCCTGGAATCATTCTAAGTTTTGGACTCACCTAAGAAACCTATTTACAGCTCGTGGAATGGATGACGGGCCGTCCTGGTGAACCGTCACAAAGTACTGAAACTAGAAATGATTAGAAAATCCAACTTGTGGACCACCCCACCATCGATGGACCGTCATCCCACCTACGGACCATGGATGGTGTCGTCGGTCTTGATACTAGGTCTAAGAAAAAATGAAATTTTCTTGCCTTTTTGAATCTGCGGTATTCGATTATCTACCCCTTGGGATTATTCATCCTCGAATGGAACTCAAGCTAACACGAAAAGAGTAGGAGGGAAACTAACAACCTTATCATCAATGCGACTTCATCAAAATGCAAACAACCAAGGAGGAACCTCAACTCCAAGCTAAAACATATTCTAAGCATCATAAGGAAGATAGGAACTAGACCTAGCAGCCCAACATGAATGCAATCACATAAATGCACATATTTGAGGAGAAAACTTCAACTCCAAGATAAAGCATACTTTTTAAATCATCTTTTCATAAGACAAACATGAAAGATCATATTCAAATGCGCATAAACATGAAACAATTTTTTTCATGAGTATGCATGAATAAGGAAACATGAGGATGACTAAGACACAAGAATCCTAAAGAGAGAACCATAAGGGCTAAGGCCTCTAGACTCCAAGATAGAAGGAAAGATATAAGGATATTAAGAAGTCACATCACCTCAAAACTTTCACCCACCAAACCATAACAAGGAACTCTTCCAAAACCAACATAGTTCTACTCACGTACCAACCATGAAGCACACTATCTCCCCCTTGGGAACAAACACCATTAGTGTTTTCAAACCCATCTCCCTTAATCCCAAATATAACACCAACGTCTTAACAACCACTAAACCATTGATAGAAGTAAACACTTATGAAGTTTCTACAAGGATTTCAAGGACTACTCTAACACAATATCCATACATGAAGTCTTACCATATTGAATGAAACACTCAATATCAAGCAATGCATAACCTAAAGCTAAAAGACCTCAACTTACAAATTACCGCATCCGGGGAACCCTCATGATCTTCTTGAGTTTGAAGATCATAGAACCTATCTTGTTTCCAACCACCACTAGGACCGGAGGAAGGGTAAGGTTGAGCCCGTCGGCGATCATCTCCCTCATTTCTAGCAATCGAAGGACAATTCCTTATCTTATGACCCATCTTTCCACAACCAGAACAGGCCTTTGAACCGGCTAGACATTTACCTCACGTTTTCTCCCACACTCCCTATACTCGGTCAACATTTGCTCACTACCTCCCTTACCTTGAGAACGATTACCTCTATTGTACCTTGAATGTGAAGACTTACCATCATTCCTTCTTGCCCTCTTTGAATCCTTAGTTTTCTCCTTAAGCTTTTCTTTTATATTTGTTGTGCATGTATCATTAACCGGGATACATCCATATCCCTAACAAGCATGTCAGTTAGGCATTCTTTGACTACTAAGTCAGAAGCACCCGACACAAACTTACTCATCCTTGCACTTGGATCGACAACCATAGTTGGAGCATATTTAGATAATTGCATGAATTTCAAATCACATTCCTTCACACTCATATCCCCTTGACGAAGGTTAATGAACTCAAGTACCTTTTCATCTCTCATCTCAATGGGAAAGAGACTATCAAGAAAAGCAACCTTAAATTCTCTCAATCAAGAGGACCCTCATCTACCGCCCTCTCTTCTTTCCATTGGTTGAACCAAACTTGAGCAACACCTTTAATTGATAAGCGACCAATTCCGCCTTTTCCACTAGCGTCACTCCCATGATCATCAACACCTTATACACCTCATCAATGAACTCTTGAAGGTCTTCCTCAACGTTAGTCCTTGAAATTCTGGAGGATTTAATCTAATAAAGTCCCTCACTCTAGCTGTCGTTAGGGGCGAATTTAAGTGTCAAATTTCGGTCACCGAAACCCGTGGTCATCCGGCTAAACTCTATATATCATTTGTATAATTCTTAAAAATATATTAAATATTAGCTAAAGGAACCCATGCCCAAAATGACCAGATGGTTCACTGGTCGGAGGGCTTATTATCGAGGTGGTAGTCGCTGGTTCGAATCCCT